GGAGAGGGGAGGAGTATGGGAAGCCGGCGGCGAGCGGTTTGAGGAGATTGGATCGGGAGGATGCGGAAGCGGCACGAGAGAGGGCCATGAGAATCGCCGGATCGTTGGAGGGCAAAGGTTTGAGAAGGAAGGTTTTTTGAGAGTTGAGATTTGAGAAATGCCGAAAGGTGGAAGGTAGGTAGAGGCTGCCTGCGTAACGAAATTAATTCATAATTAAAATTTAAAATAATGGAAAAAATAAAAATAAGAAAATAAGAAAAGAAAACTMTCGGTCAAGCCTGTCTAAATTGTAATTAACCAGTAACTAATGATTGTGACAACAGTATTTACCCTTCTTTTTTTTTCAAGTACGTGTATCAGCACGTGATTCACGTGCATTTGACGTTCTTTGATTTTATTAGTTGTGATTTATATTTTATTAAAAAAATAATAAAACTTATATCATTCATATCAAAAATGGATWACCTACCTAAACTATAAGAAAAGTAAGCTATTTAAAAAAAAAAAAAGACAAGTAAGCTTCTTCGGTCCATATAAAGACAAGTAAGCTTCTCCAGTCCATACAAGTGCACGACGAGCCTATGCAAAGAGTTTAGTTAAGATATGTCAAATTTTACCAAGTATATCCAAAGCGAGCATAGTTTAGTGGTAATTAGCATATATCAAGATGTTGTAAGTTCGATTCCCTACCCCTACATGTTGTATTCAAAAAATTTTACCAAGTATACAAATAGAACCAAACTGTACATGCCCTCCAACTATGTCTTCCAAATTGTCCGCACTAACAATTCATCATTCTCCTCCAAAAGGAAACCAAATACAACCATGGGGCTAAGGGTCACCCCCGAAGCCCAAATATTACCATACACCTAAAATCCTACCCCCAAAATAAAGAACTTTGAATACTATCAGAAAAGCACATTTACCTAACAAAATTAAGTGAACACCCAAAATGACATTTATTTTATTTCTATCTTCCCACACGTAACCGAAGARTGGAAAAGATTCTTCATGCGACCTGTATGAAGTAAAAAACAAAATTAATAATAAGATATTTTAATTCTAACAGTTGGGGTAGGATTTTGACAGGTGGGCCCAACTCAGGGTGAAGATTAGCACAGGGAGATGTCATARCTTGAAACATGTGACAATGCTTGATGGACCTTGCATGGGTCATTGTTAGAGTGAAGTGGGGTAGCAAACTCAAAAGAGGAGGACAAGGTAAGGCAGTAGCACGTGTGGCCAAGCATGAAGTAAAGCACGCACAAGGCATAAGAGAGCTATTGGGTGCTTAGCGTCTCGTGAACATGCAAGTAATTGGCTAGCATGGTAGGCAAGGCTGGTGATTGTGCACATATGTAGGATGCACACGCATGCAAGCGAGTGTCGCATGCATGGGACGAACGCAGGCGTGTGGGGACAATTAGACAAACAAAAACACACAACAATATATACAATCAAGCARTGCACACATGGCTATTCTAGAGCATTTGAGCATGGTGGTGTGCAACATCCACACTAGATCTTTGGTGGGCTTGGTATAGGCTCAACAATGGGAAATTGGTAGAAATAACTTTAAAAAGTTTTCACAAATAACTCACCGTTTGAAAACTTATTTTTTCTAACCTAAATCAGTTTTTTCTTACACGCCAATCGAGATGAATTTACAAATCTACTGTTCCTTGGCCTAAAACCCACCCAAATTTGTGCCCGAGTAAAAGACACGTTCAACAAACTTGTACAAAAACTTGGGGACGCCCCTAAAGCTTCGCACGAGTTATCATTTTGCACCATAACTTGTGCAAAAACACGCACAAGTTTCCACATTCTTGCCTCTATAACATTCCTCAGGCTAACACGCGGCCAAGTTTGAGTCTGTGGAAACATACAAATTCCAAAAAAAAAAAATGAGCAACTTCACGTGAGTTCTGCCMAAAGTTTTCGGCAAGATCGTTCTTCAAATAATTTGCCTAAGAAAAAACTGAACATACCAAGATAAAACAAAACAAATTTCAAAGTAGAGTGCGAACTACAAGTTAGGTGAAGCAAAATTTTAACCTTTCTTTAAAAAAAAATAATAATCCTCTCAATTTTTTGGGATGAAGGGTTCGAATCAAAGGCCCCTCCCTACTCATATCATATATACAATTGCTTTTCAAAAATGTGAGTGAGGAAATGTTACATGAAAAAAATGGAAATTGGGAAGAGAAGAGAAGTTTGACAAGGGAAGAGAAATAAGTGCAGGAGGGAAGAGAAGAGAAGAGAAGGGACATACATAATTGTAATTTAAAATTTTTTTAATTAAATAAAATATTGATTTRAGTCAGAAAAATAATTTTGAAAGCCTAGGTCATCTAAACCATGTAGAAAATTTTTTAGGTCGATTTTATCAATTTTCTCTCAACAATGGGGAAATTGACATMTATGATCTAAAAAAGTTTTCAATTTATTCAAATGAACTACTTTTTTTTAAAGAGGAATTGTMTTCTGTAGGTCAAAATATAAACTATATTTCACAAATTGTCTTTRTTTTCATTATTATAGTATTTGAAATATTGTTTTTGTTTRTCCTACATTTGCCTTCAATTAATACTATTTGATTTAATGGGATTTGTGTTTTATTTAAATAATTAGATTTAATATTTATTCAAAAGTTAACATATTTGGTTTCCACGTATTAAATATGATGTACTCAAATTTTTAAAATTTATTCTGTCGTGGGCTCCATCTGATTTATTCCCCGAGTTTTTTCCAATCAATAATAATCTATAAGTCATTCCATTTATAACAAAACTCCAATTCTTTATTTTCGTATGTCACAGCGTCATCACGATATAGAGCAGTCTGCGTCATCCCCTAAACGGTCTCTTTCGAGATAAGAGTTTGGAGTCGTCACCAATCATTCACGAGGTGTGATTTTCTAAAATATGAAAAACGGTATGCGAAAAACAGATTTTTGGTTTGTGAGTTGATTGAGTGTAGGGAACATGTTAGCACCCTATAATACCAATTTGAAAAATGTTACCAAATTTTGTCATAAATTATCCTATTATATTTATTTGATCTCCCAAAAATCAAACTATTTTTTATTTTAAATGTCTCATACTTTATTAATTCACATCTTAAAATAAAACATGAATTAACAATCATGACTGGCACAAATTAACAATCATGAGTGGGACGAAGGCTAACAAACCAAGTTTCCTTAAAAAGAAACTTGGTTTGTTTATTTTAAAAAAAATTATTTAAAAAAAAAAAGAAATTTTTTTGTTTTTTACTTAAAAAATATTTTATTTTAAAGAAAACCTTTTTCTTTCTTAAACAAAAAATTTATAACCCACATTTTCTCACCTCTTCTAATCGCCGGAATTCGTTGTTGTCGCCACCGTCAGAGTTAACATATTTGGTTTCCACGTATTCAATATGATGTATTCAAAATTTTAAAATTCATGCTCTAGTGGGCTCCATCTGATTTATTCCCCCGAGTTTTCTCCAATCAATAATAATATATAAATCCTTCCATTTATAACAAAACTCCTCCAATTCTCTATTTTCGTATGTCACAATGCCATCACGATGCGKAGCAACCTGCGTCATCTCCTAATGGGCCTCTTTCGAGATAAGAGTTTGGAGTCGTTACTAATCATCCATGAGGTGTGATTGGTCACCAAAATGAAAAACGGTTTGCGAAAAACAAATTTTTTGTTCGTGAGTCGATTGAGCGTAGGGAACATGTTAGCACCCTATAACACCCGTTTGAAAAAGATTACCAAATTTTGGCATAAATTATCCTATTATATTTATTTGGTCTAAAAGAACTATTTTTTATTTTAAATGTCACACCCTTTATTAATTCACATCTTAAGATAAAAGATGAATTAACAGCACGAAGGCCATTAAGAAAATCAATCCCCTCGAAAATATTGGAAAGTTATATATCTTTTCAATCTTCGTCATTKGAATTTTCAAAATAATTATTTTAAAATAGTATAAAAACTTTATTTTCTTTTAAAATAAAATCTTTTATTTTCTTTTCTAAAAAACTTTACAAGACTTTATTGAAAAAACAAAACTTTTTATTTACTTCATTAAAAAAAAAACAACTCTTTTTATTTTTTTTAAACAAATTGTATTTGCTAAATATTTTACTTTCTTTTTCAAAAAAGTACTTCAACCTTATTTTAAAAGGTTTTTTTCCTTTAAAAAAATTTTATTTTAAAGAAAACTTTTTTCTTTCTTAAAAAAAAAAAAGAAATATTTCTCACCTCTTCTAATCGTTGGAATTTGYTGTTGTCGGCACCATCTGAGGTATGATGCTGCCGTTCGTTGTCGTATAGAATATTTCTTTGTCCACGGATATCGACCATTAATGGCAAGTCAATCATTCACTAGTGTTTCTTAACCGTAGATGGGTCAAATTATCATTTTACCCATATATTACATCTTGTACCTTAAGTACTACTCATCCTCTAATAAACAACCCGGTTCTAGTCCGACCAATAACCGRAAGTCCCTTTCGGGCCAGYGAGAGGGTGAGACCCCTTATTCAAGTCCCGGAGTCARCACTAAATGGAACACTCATCTAATCTCATCCTCAAAATGGTAGGAATGTTTAGTCGGCGACTCGGRCCACTCTCA